CATTCACCACTTAATGTTAGTTGATGTAGAGCTTAGCGTCTTCTCTGTATCTAACTAACACAGACACTTTAAATTAATCAGAAAAGTGCCACAAACAAACAGCACAGATTTCCATGCAGTGCAGCCAGCCTTCCTCTGCTGGGTTCAAAGTTAAGTGATTGCTGTTGTAATCTTATAAAAAGAAGTGAGCCTTTCTATCTGTCTGTCACAGTGATAGGCTAACTGTAAGACCTCCCCCCCTCCTCTTGCTCTTTTCTCTTCACAGATAAGTGAGCTGTGATCTTTCATCCGAGCGTCAGTCAGGGAGGTTCTTTCTGCACTTCCAGCTACATCTTCTTTCTCCCTTTCTCTTTCTTTGTCCCCTAAATTTCTCTCCTCTTGCTTTTTGCTTCTGTCTTTAACTTTTTTTTTTCCAATCAACCATGGCTCCAACCCTGGCCACAGCATTTGCCAGGCGCTGGTGGATGGCAGTGACTGCTATCATTGAGAATTTGCTCTTCTCTGCTGTGCTGCTGGGATGGGGATCGCTCCTCATCATGCTCAAGTCAGAGGGCTTCTACTCGTACCTTTGCAGCGAGGAGGGTAAGTCGAAACTCTTGTGTTTTATAATTACCAAAATAGTTATGGCGATGCCTTGTAAAGAAAGAAAGAAAAGACAATTGGTTTTTTGACTTAGTTTTTGGAAAGCACTTTTTCCTTTTTGTACGCTGAAATATCCCAATAAAATAAGGATTAAGTGATTGACAGCAATGGTGATCTTAAGTTAGGAGCAGGTTTTATTCAACAGATGTAATACGACACTACTGTGTTCTGGCCTCTTCCATTCTTTAGGGAGAATGAGGGTTTTTTCTGTACAAGTGTCATAACCTGTTTTAAGGACTCAGGAAAATAAATCTGAGCAGGCAAATGAAATAAAGAGCAGTGTAACAGGTAGGTCAGTTGGTCTAAAGTGAAAGTATAAAAGGTTTTATGGTGCAGTAGACTTGTTGAGAGTCAAATGATAGACCAATGATGGACTGATCGGCTGATCCTTTTACCTGAGTCTGTATTGTTTAAAGCTTGCTCTCTTTATGTCAAGAGTCCCACACTATGACAAAAGTTACACCAGGTACTTTGTATCGTTAAGAACAAAGGTTGGATTGATGCACTCAGCCTAAGTGACCCCGGTGTGGTCTTTTAAAAGAGAATAAACAAGGGGAAAGTAAAGGAGGACCCGAGGTGATACTGTGTGGCGTCCCATGGCCTGAAAGAGGTAAACACGTTAGTATCCACACTAAGTCCTGGAGCATTTATAACATGCAGCAGGATGTTTTACTCAACTCTGCACCAGTGGCTAATATTAACATTCAGCAATAAAAACTTATAAAGGATGACAGCTGTCCCATACACATTTACCTGCAAAGGAACAACATTTTATAGGGTAGTGCAAATGTTTTAGCTGTGAAGCTGTGCACACTCACCAGTCAAGTAAAAGTTGAGCAATAACTTCCTGGACAACTGCCACAGTCATCTTATCTTGTTCTGATGACATAAGAGAAGAAAAAAAAAAGGAGAACAGCAGCAAGCACCAGCTCAGCTTTTTTTCAAACATGTGACGTGATTGAGGAACAAAGTAATCAGCAGGAAGCATTTATAGCTGGTAATAAGTGAGTTTAAAGTTCAGTGACAAAGGGCAGAGAGGGTGAGATAGCTAAAGTGATGAGCAATAGAAATCAAACCAGGAAACAGTAAAAAATAGAATGGCGAAATGGAAAGATAATGGTCCAGCATAGACCGGCACAAGAAGCACATATTTGGCATTTAAAATATATAGACTGCACTTTGTGCTTTGTGTTTCGTAATAAACATTTTATGAATTTTAATTATGAAATACCAGATCACTTCAAATGAAATAAAGCAAAAGATATCGATGCATTTAGAAGCTGCTTTTTCTCGTTTTGTGTGCAGTGTTAGTGCAGGGTTCAGCGTTAGCTCGGTGCCAACATCTTAATGCCTTTTCTAGCCTTTGTAAGTCATTTTGCACCAGGATGCCCAGTCAAACATTTTGCTATACATGCTACAGGGACACAGTGTTGGGTATTAACTGCACATTCAGCAATATAGTTTGCCATTCAGCTGCTCCCGTCAGCATTGTGTCCCAGTGATTCAAAGGGTATGAGATGCTGATCTGTCTTCTTGGGGAAGACTTTGGCACTTGGTCATGAAGTGCGTCACAGTGTTTCACGTTGGGATGCCACACACACACGTTTTTCCTCCCAGAGATAACCGGTGGCTGATAGCACTGGAAGAGCGTGATCTGGAAAGCTAATGCTAAGAAGGTCCAAAGCTGCAGCTCCCCTCACTTCATCACCTGGACGTCTTCTGGACTTTTGCACTTGTTCACATTATCTCCTTGCAGGTCCTGATAATGATGTGAAGTTTATTGCAAGTGCTAGCTTATCACGTTTTGTTCATATCATTCCAAAGTAGCAATAAAAGCCAAATTGCATTCCATATCATAATCTTTAGGGGCACTTTTTTTATTTTATGCTGAGGTTCACAATTAATCTAACTGGCTGTGCACATTTGATTGGTATGTATTGATGTATTAGAGATATAAGTAAACTATTCAGAGCT